GCTGGCTGAGGAATTCTGGGAGTTGAAGTCCACAAGTCTTAAAGTTGCCAAGGTTGGACACCCCTGATTTAGAGCAACAGGCATTGTTGCCTATTCCACATACATTAGAATTACAAGAATAAGAACCTTGTGCTTACATAATACCCTTCTTCCATAGCTGCAAGGATTACTTTTAATTTCAATGTTATACGAACTGTAACTTTTAATGATAATTCAACCAGAGATTATGAAAGTTTCTGCTTTCCACTAAGTATTAAACTTACGAACCGCACATCCATGTTGTATGTTTATTTTTTGCACATCTAAAATAACAGTAGAAGCACTGGATCATCCAGTTCTAGAATAAAGGGAAAGATGGGAAATCTCCCAGGAATTCCAGAGATATAAGCCACGCTATGAAGCAGGAAGAGAAGCAGTTTGATATAGTGATTGGCACCAAGCTAGAATCTAAGAGGCTGGGAGTTCTAAAGCCAGTCTGTGGACCAATCCCTCTCTCTCCCAGCTCTATGGAAGAGGCAGTGGCAAACCATTTCCAAAATTTTGGCAAAAAAACCCTGCAGGGATTTGTCCAGGGAGTTGCCAGGAATCAAGATGGACTTGAAGGATACGCCTCTCTCCCCAAAAAAGGAATTAGGAAAGGATATCTCTAAAGAAGGAAATGGCAAATGACTTCCAAAAGCACTGCATGGAGAGGACTAAGAAATTGGCTGGAATTAAACTTGACTCAAAGGAAATTATATACAGTACTCCTCCCAGCCACACAAAGAAGAGTAGCATATTTTTGACTATTTTAAACTGCAACCTACCATTTCTAACTCCTCTCTGGTGGACTTGTTAATACATGTACTGAACTGAAACATATTTAATTTAGTCTAAATAGTTTTTCCCATGCTGCTTACCTGGCTTTTAGGGGGAATATAGGTAATAATGTATGCTTAAGTTGTTGGAAGTAAGTTGCTACATGAACTTATTGGGCATCTATGAACTTGATCAATACCTCCTAGCCCAAGTGTTCCTACATGATGGGATATGTTTGGAAGAGGGAACAAAGATTTTCATAGGCAAATTTTCCAGGAAATCATAAATATAGTACTTTGGATACTCTCTCCTAGAAATCGGATGTTGAGCAGGAATTTGTTTTGGTGCAAACTGTTATTAAACACCATCTTATGCTCATACATACAGTAACCTATCAGTATAAAAGGGCTGTAAATCTCTGCAACTTGCTTTTAAGGAAACTGAATTTTGCACCTATTTCTTAGGATTTTCTTAGAAGTATTTATTAGCAAACAGTATTTAATGAGAATAACTTATTTAAGATAAAGTGCTAATGGCTCTATTGTCAGTTATACACTGAAATATTGGAGTTTTGAAACAATTTTTTACCAAGATCAACTTATCAATTTTTTACCTAGGCATGATGGGCAGCATACAAGTTAATAAATAAATAAAGTGCAGTTTTTCAAAGAAGAAGTACAAAATGTCCATGCGCTGACCTATTTTCACACAAATATTAGGAGCAAGTGGAACATTTAAAAAATGGCTACCCTATTATTGCTGCCCTCTCCCTAATCAGACCTGCTAAATGAACAACTATCGCTGCTATGAAGACAAAAACAATTTACCTCTTCTTTTTCTACCACCTCTTTTGTGGCTGTTTCTGGTGGAGAAACTTTTTTCATCACAGTCTTGGGCTCAGTTTTAGCTACCATCTTGGTTTCAGGCTTGGTTTCATTCACGGCTTCTACTTTCTCTTCCACTTTAGGCTCAGGTGGATGTTGCTTCGGCTCAAGCTTAGATTCTGTCTTGATTATTTTTTTCTCTTTGTGACCTGGTTCATGTTGGGTGACAGGTGTACTTTCCCTCTTTTCTAGCTCTAATTTGTGATCCACTGCTTTCACATCAGCTTCTGGCTCTGGGGACCTTGACTTGGCAGGAAATGTGGAGTCCGAGAATGGCTCTTCTTCATTATCCACTGGGGGAGTAACTGGAGAGGTCCGCACCGCATAACTGTGATATCCCTCAAATAATTTAACTTCACCTTCCTTCTTTATCCTTTCAAGAGGCTTGATCTCCATCCTATCTGTAGCAATCTTCATATGGCTAGGATGGCTGGGGCTCTGAGAAGCAGGTCTACTGTTACTTCCTGACTTCTCCACTGTTGCCAGTAGAGCACTAGAAGATGTGTTGGGTCTACTTCCTATATAATTCCCATTCTTAGTATGATCTCCATTCCAGTTCCCAGGGCTGAGAAAACCATCTTTCCGAGAACCCTGCTTAGCACGCTTGGACTCAGGTGGGGTGCCAGATGGTGATGGAGTCGGAGCTGGACTCTCCTTAGGTTTCATAAACTCCTGCTCATCATCTTGAGGACTTTCTGGAGGTGTTGCTGGAGATGTCTCTTCAATAGGGGGTGTTTCTTGTATATGCTCTACATTCTCCTCGTTTTCCATGAGTTCCTGGAGTAGCCTCCTCTTCAGATATTCAGGGCCTAATAAGGAAAAATAAAACTCTAAACATTATCAAAAGGTCATTTAATTTCTCTAATACTTATGCATTTGTGGCTGGTGGTTAGTCAAGCTTAGCCTTGCCACCTCTAGATCTATGAATGGGATACCTCATCCCATCATGATGTTAATTAAAGGCTGACTCATCATTTTGTCATGCTGTGCCAAAGAGAAATTAGTAGATTAAGTCAACCTGCTGTCGTTCAATGAGACATTATTTAAATTATTTTTATATCATTAATTTCATATAGCCTGCTGGAGACTGGAAACAATATAAAAACCATACAAGCACAGGAAACAATGCCATCTCTAGAGATGGTATTGAAAATGACTTCCTGCAGCCCTGTCTAAACAAACAAACATTTTTAGTAATCATATGTTCTATGGAAGAGCTCAATCTTTATTGCTCCTCTCCCACCAGCAAAAGAAAACAATTTTAAAAAACCCACAGCACAGTAGGAGAGCACTGTGTGTGTTGGAGAGAGGGACAAGGTAAGTTTTTTTAAAAAGATGAAAGACTTTGTTCCCTAATCTCTACTCAGCAAGCAATTAGTATGACCAAATCTTACAACCAAGTCTTTATTAGATTGATTAATTGTTACAATTACTGCTTGATAGTGGAGTGCTATCCTTTATATAACCCTTTTCATTCCATTTCCTTGTAGCAAATACTAAAATAGCAGAAGCCTAACTCTGCTACCATCTAGTGATCATTCTGAGTTTTCAGCCTGGATATGGTAGCCCTACTAATAAATAATCTCTGCCTAGCTGTTTATCTGCACATAGAGATACATCACTTGTATATCTTCTCAGGCATATAACTTCTGTATAAAGACTGGGATGGGAAAAAGAATCAGTAGAGATTTGTCCTTAATGTAAAGTGAGCTGTCAGATGGGCGCATTGCTTAGTAATAAGATCATCCACCTGTGACATCAAGATCCCGTTGGAAGCATTGGAGAAGTTGACCTGACTTAGTTAAAGAAATTCTGGGTTCAGGTTGCATCTCACTGCATTCTATAATATCTGTCTGTACCATTGCCATGGGTTACATTATTATTTATAGGCTAGGCAGAATCAGTCTGGTTTTCTCCACTGGTCCTATATCCTTCCCTCACAACTTTGAACATGCTTATAATGTGAATGAAGTAATTAGTTTTAATCAGCAAGGTAATATTTATGAGTATAGCTAAGATGGCAGGAAACTTCTTGTCTTAAACCAAGATCAGAAAAATCTCCACACTTAACTTTTAAATCAGTCTGCATTACAAATGTAAATTCTACACCAGTTCAATCATCTTTTGTGTGTGCATTTCCTCCAACATTCAGACACCATTAAGTAACATTTATAACTGGCAGGGTTAATGTATCAGAGATTGAATAATAGCTTTACATCAATTTTACAATTTACATCTAAATTACTTTCAGTTTTATAAATTATAGCTGAATATTAATTACAATTCAGAAAAGCTTTCTATCTTAGTTCTCAATGGTATAGATTTTATAAAATGACACCAATACTGTAGATCAGTGGTGGCTAATCTTTTTTGGCTTCTGTGCCGAAAATTATGTATGTGCGCTAGTGTGCACACACTCGCATACCAGCACCTAGAAGGCAGTGTGCGCACCCCCCATGCCCCCTGCACATGCGCGTGCAATCCCCCCCACCCCCTTACCTGCACTGTGCCTCACAGCTGATTTTTCAGCTGGTTTGAAGCCTTTTTCGGCCTCCCAGAGGCTTGAAAAAAGCCTCTGCAAGGCTTTTCAGGTCGAATAATAGGCCCGTTTCATCACTTCTGGTATTTCAGGAAGTGACGAAACGGGCCTATTATTCATCCTGAAAAGCCTTGCAGAGACTTTTTTCAAGCCTCTAGGAGGCCGAAAAAGGCCTCAAACCAGCCAAAAAATCAGCTGTGAGGTGCACGCATGCTCAGTGAGGTAAGTTTGCTTGTGGCTCGCGTGCCGGCAGAAATGGCTCTACATGCCACTTGTGGCACGCGTGCCATAGGTTCGCCATCATGGCTGTAGATGAATCCTCATAGCAAATGGCAAATGTTGTTTTAAGGGAAGACAGAAAACAAAACTGGAGCAGCTAAAGGCCAATGTAAATTGTCACTGATGTGGGCTGGGAATGGAACAAAGGCAGCATCATGAGGACATGTCCTTCTAGAATAAAAAGCAAGATATCTTTGTGCTGCTGTGAGAGAGAGACAAGAATAAAACTATACAGGTAATCCTTGACTTGTGACTACAATTGGGACCACAATTTCTGTTGCTAAGCAAGGCAGTTAAATGAGTTGCGTCCAATTACACAACCTTTTTTGGCACAGTTTTAAAGCTGCAGTTGTTAAGTGAATCATGAGGTTATTAAGCTGATCCAACTTCCCCCATTGACTATGTTCGATGGACATCAGTCAGGAAGTTCAAAAATTGTGATCACATCACCCCAGGATGCTGCAAACATTGTAAATACATGCAGTTGCCAAGCACCTTAATTTTGATCATGTGATCATGGAAATGCTATGACAGTTGTAAGTGCAAAGACTGGTCCTAAGTCTTTTTTCAGTGTGTTTTAACTTCAAACTGTCACTAAACAAGTTGAGGACTACCTGTAATTACATTCCAGAATTTGCTATTGCAACTGCCATCAGTTGCAACACTAGATTCATAGTCTGGTATCAATATTTAGTAATAATCATGGGTATTACTGGGTTACTCCAATATCAGGGGCAAGCAAATTTGAATCCGTTCCCACCAGCCTCATTCAACATGGTAAGTGAGAATCTATGGGAGATGTACTCCAAAACACAAGGAGGACATTGCAGGCTTACTTCAACATTTGGTTACGCAGTTGTGGGAACTAGAAGAGCCTTTATTCTGATCCAGCCAGGTTCTTCTTCCCATTGTGTTTAATTTCAAACCTCTGCTTGGAATGCAGCCATAAATGTGCATCACTGCAATCAATATCCAATAGTGTCAAGACATGAAATATTCATATGATTAAACCCAAAATAAAGAAAAAGGTTTTACAGAGAACATTACAAAATCTATGCAATATGCTTAGCACAAGTTCTTGCGCACTTTTACTTGGAGTATGACCATTTGATGCTACAGCAACTAATTCCTAAATAAGCTTGCACCATATCAGGCAACAAATCTATGCATTCTGGAAAGTTTGATTTTCATACTGCTGGCTGTTTGTACTAAAGCGGGACAGGAAGAAGAGATACCTAAGAGCTTTATTTTAGCCAGCTTGCTTTGCCTACAGGCACCTGTCAGTCATAAAAAGACCCATTCAGGGCTATTTATTTCTGGATTCAAGCACACTGTTTGGAAGCTATTTTACCAGTTGCTCAGAGTTCTCAAAATAGCCCTCAGCAGACTAACCATCTGTGGTCTTGGCAATAAAGGTTACAACATTTTCCAACTCTGAATGAATGATAAAAATGCACACAAATCATAGCTTTCCCCTTTGATTAATCAATTAAAACAGAGGTCCCCAACCTCTGGGCCACAGCCCACTAGTGGGCCATGAACTGTTTGAAATTGGGCCACAGAAATGGTGGTTGAGTGCGCACATGCATGCATATCCCCACTTGCGCATGCAGTGGGCAAGCATGTGCACATACACACACCATTTATATGAGTGGTAGGTGTGCAAGCACATTGCTCATGCAAATGGAGCTGCACACACACATGCACGCACTTGTGGCCACTTGGGCAGAACCATCTCCTCTCCATGTACCATCCCCAACAGTCTGTAAAGCTGAAAAGGTTGGGGAACTCTGGATTAAAACATAGACCATTCATTTGCTGATTAAATGCCAAATGTTTCCTTATGTATGTGCACATACATGCTGGTTAGGACAAGGAATGTATATCGATTTGTAAATGTAAATTGTACTGTGTATTTAAAACTATTTCAGAGAAAAGGTTAAGCTAAGCCTTGATGTTTGAAAATACTAGAAACTAGAAACAAACAGGATATCGGAGTCAATATCTGTTTTCTTTCATTGCAAAGAAAAGTTATTGTGTTATTTTGTCAGGAATGTTTTGCTGATAAAACTATGTGATAGTATTTTTCTAATAAAATATATGCTTCTCCTGTCTTATAAAAGACATTATCCCTATTCATACACTCTCCAAGTTGGCAGAAAGGTGTGCTCAGAAATCACTATCCACTACTTGATTCCTCCTTTAGCACAGCAGATTAACAGTACACATTTGCTGTTTGATTATTCAAAAGTAAATGTGGCTTTGTTCAGTAATCTTATTCCCAGACAAGTGCAAATGAGATTGCAGCTTCACAGGCCATTGGCAATAAATTCTGAAAAGAATGCTAAGGTCCTGGATGAGCACAATACATTCTAGGAAAAAATATGAATACAAATAAATGGCATGAATATTTAAAAGTATAAATGTAAGAAAATGAATCTAAGCTAAAGCAACCAAAGATGTATAAATATTAGGAAATGCTTATCCATTTCATTTTACTTGTAGAAAAGAAACAGGGAAACAAAACTACTGAAAATGAGCTAACACTGCATGATAAAATATAATGCAAAATAAGAAAATAATAGCAAAATGTTGGTATGCCCTTTCCACCCCAATATTATGAGTAGTGAAATCTCCACAGCTGTGGATATTTATCCAGGATTGATTGAATGAAAGTCTGAATGGCTTAATAAAATGGTTTTGCACATACACAAAATGAGCATACAATAGAGGCTCACGCCATTATTAAATTGATTTCTCTTTTTTCTAATAGACATTCAGTGTCTTCAAAACTCCAAGCAATCCCTAGCTGTGACCTTTCTTCTGACTTAGTGATGCAACTGGTTAATTTTAGACCTCATTTGGACATTAAGTTTATTACTTGGGAATACACAGATAATAATATATAAAGGCAAGATATTACAATGGAGTTTGGACTGGACAAACGTGCCATCCTTACCTTATAAGGTAAAAATAAAGAAAAATCCTTCAAGCTTACAATATCAAACACGCTGAAGTCAAGAAGGTTAGAGGTGAATATATTATGAGAGTGAAAAAGATCTTAAAGTCCAAATTCAGTGGAAGCAATACCATCAATTAACATCTGGGCAATTCCAGTCAGTAGATACACTGCTAAAATAAAGGACTGGACTCAAGCAGAACTAAAAGCGCTGGACAGGGAGACCAGAAAAATAATGACAATGACCCAAGCTGTTTTCTCAGCAGCTTCACTAAAGATTATGGAGATGGCTGCTTTTTGTAAAATCTTATCACATATATTGTCACATATGGAAAATGTTAACTTGCTTGTTGGTTTTACATAGCTCACCAACCAATGTGTAGATGAAAGTCAGTAATTAAAGACTAGGATGAAGAACTCTTCATTTCTTACCTGGCTGATAGAAGTCTGGAGACAATTCTCTGGCCATCGACCTGGCTAACATGGATTCATTGTTAGCTGCTATTGCTGCTTGCTCTGCACCTTCTGACTTGGCTTTGGCGTGGGCAGTCCTGTGAACATAACATCATTGTGGTATTTAGTATAGAGAGATGCTATAGAACAGGCCTGTCAAACTGGTGGTCTGTAGGCCGGATGCATCATGCGCAGATCACGTCCACCCTGGCTCCGCAAAGGCAAAAAAAAAGTTGCAATACATCATGTGACATGATCAAGTTTGACAGCCATGTTATCGAATGTGCCTACTATTCCTTCCAAAGTGGTCATTCTAACATCAACAAGGACTATTCATTCCATGGCCTCAAGAAATGCATTGATGGTGTCAGCCTTCACAAGACTCCTTTCTTTTCTTTCGCTATCTTTTCGGCTGCCATAGTAACAGAGGGAGGGTGAATCAATTGGGATTTGTGGGGTGGGAAATGTGCTGGAGGTTTTAGAGAATGAACTGTATAACTTGGGAAAAACTTTATTGTTTATGCTTATTCGCTTGCTTACTGCGCAAGTGCAGCTCTTTATCAAACTAGGCCAAGGTCAACAGCCAGATGTCTGCATCACCACCTGAAAATGCCCCACACGACATTATCCACATCTTCGATTGGATGGACAGTTTGAACTATTGTGGGTGGGAACATTGCCATTACTTTGTATATGTGTTTTTCACGTGTAAATCCTCAGATCTAGAATCCTTTTGATGCTACCACTTGATTTCCAGTAAAAGATACCTTTTCTCTATAACAATGGAGTCTAAGAGTGTCTTTCTTGGATTTTGAAAGATGACCAATTACTTTTTCTACATTGTCTCACTTATTAACCATAAAACTAAAATAATTGCTCCCAATACTTCTAATTTTTTTATCTCTAAAGACCTTTGCTACATGCTGTCCACCTTTACCTATTCTTGAATAAAAAATGAACTACCATCTTTTCTGTCAATGTTCTACACATATTGGAGGATATCTTTGTTTTCTTAATATTCACTTTCCAATTTTACTTTCCCCATGTACTCTTTTAAATCTTCTTTATTGACAATAAAGCATGTTGTTTATATATCTGATTTTTTAATCTTCAATTTTTATTCCAGCTGTTATTTCTTCCTCTCCTGCCATTCTTATGACTGCTTTGCAAATAACTTTAGTAAACAGAATAAGAATAACAGAATAAGAGAGTAGGAAGGGACCTTGGAGGTCTTCTAGTCCTACCTCCAGCTTAGGTAAATAAGTAAACAAGTACATTTTATAAACTTACAAACAAACAATCCATAGTTATTCTCACTATTTAGACTTAGATTAACTTTATTGTCACTTTGAATGTATACTACTCAGCATATATTAAAATGAAATTTCATTGCATACAGCTCTCAAAGGGTCTCCACCTCTAATATACACTACATTATAATAAATAAATACAAAATTATGCATATACCCACATATATTATATGACATGGAGAAACAACACACTCTAGTTCAGATGCATACATATATATGGCGAGCAAAACTAATCTTGAGAATTTACCAGTCGGATGACATGTTACAGAATCTGGTAGTCCTGCTAGAAATACTTCAAAACCTCCTCCCAGAGGGGAGGAACAGAGACAGACTATAAAGTGGGTGTGTAGGGTCTCTAACAATGCTTTGAGCTCTAAGCACATAGGCCTATAACAGGGGTGGGCAAACTACGGCCCGCGGGCCACATCCGGCCCGTTGGTCTGTCCAATCCGGCCCACCCCTGAAAAAAAATTGCTGGGCGTGGCGTATTGCCCTGTGCCACGTGGCCCCCAAAGCTGCAAAACAGTGCGGAGCACTCTCGGGGTAGGAAAGAGAAGAAGTTTGCAAAGGCCTCGGCTGGGAGTTCGAAATCACCTTCGAGTGCGACCTCTCCGAAGGTGAGTCCCCACCGATCCCCCTTTTTTTTCCGGGGCTTCCAGGCTTAAACTTTGCAAAGGCAAAGTTTGCAGGCTGGAGCGTCTTCCCGCCGAGGAGTGGGAAGGGTTCCACCTGGCGGGCGGGCGGGCTGCTTGGAGCGGGCTGCTTGGAGCCACCTAAAGCTAGGCCGCTGCTGGTGGAGCCTTGCCCTGCCTTGGTGCCCTGTTTCCCGGCTCGGCGGTCCTGCTCGGGCGGCACTTTAAAAGCCTGCTCCCAGCACCCGAGCAACTTTCCAGCAACTTGCGGCTTCCTTTTTCCTCGCGGGCGCTCGTGCCTGGCCCCAAGCCGTGCGGCGGAGGGGAAGCCCGGCGGGCGGGCTGCTTGGAGGAAGCGACCCGGCGACGCTCCGGGTTTCTCCTTCTCTGCCTCTCCCCTCTTGCTCCTCAGTTGCCCTGAGCTGGTGCGGTTCTTTACTTGGGCAGCCAGACGGCCGCAGCAGCGCCTGCAGCAGCAACAGGCAGTTCCGCCCGGGCTCCGCTCAGGTGTCCGGCTGGGGCTGTCAGGAGTTGCTACCGCCGGCGCGGCTCCGCGCGGCTCCAGTCCCGCGTTGCCTTGGGAAGGGAAAGGCAAAACCAGGAGCCGCTGAGCCTGAGCCCCCGGTGCCACTGCTGCCATTGCAAAGCACCACCGCGGCTCTTCCTTTTTGCCTTTCCCTTCCCGAGGCAACGCGGGACTGGAGCCGCACGGAGCTGCGCCGGCGGTAGCAACTCCTGACTCGGGGGGCCTCCGAGGGGAGGGGAAGGAGGAGAAGAAAGGGGGGGGCGATTCCCAAAAAATCTTGTGCTGACCCGGCCCGTCTGTCAAATTTTAAAAGTCAATGCGGCCCCCGAGCCAAAAAGTTTGCCCACCCCTGGCCTATAAGCAGTATCCTGAATGACAGGAAGTGAGCTTCCTATAATCTTCTCGGCTGTCCTTATCACTCTTTCAATGGACTTTCTCTCTGAGGCACTGCAGCCACTAAACACCAAATTCTTGAGATATACAAAGTATAAAGTTATAGAGTTATAAAATGTATGAAACATAATGCAAGAAGAATCTTAATAAAGCTGATAGTGGCCAATAAAATCTAGCATCCTGGGTCCATACTGGCTAAATTGATGTATCTGAGAAGTTCACAAGCAGGATTTGAGGCAATGACCCTTGCACTCTGTTCCTTGAAGAACTATTCAAAACCATTCTGGTTGACCTGGAAATAATATTTAGCCACCACAGCAAAGAAAAACAAGAACATCCAATTGTCTACCTTTGGGACGCACTAATTATCTTTTAAGTCAAAGTCATCTGAATGACTTTTGTCATTTCTTGTGACAGTGAATTCCACAAGTCAACTTTACATGACAAAGTAAAACCTTCAAAAACATGTCTATGCCTATATTCCAAGTAAAGTTTTTTATAAAAAAATAATCACAGTAAAACTGTATGTTAACGGCACCCTATACCAAAAAGTCTCCTTGATAACCAGGATGGGGTTTTTTTGTGATGAACAAATGCCAACATGAAATCCATGTTTTTTTAAACTGAAACTATTAGCTTTTTAGTTAACCCACTCAGAGATGCATAATATGCTTTGAAGGTAAGCCTGTGTGGAAATATTTCCAGCATCCTGGTGTCTTGTTCAAAGCACTCCATCTCCTTAAGTATTTGGAGACACTTAGCTGGTGAGGTAGAAATTGGCAATTTTAAGCCTTGACAGTTCACAGAAGGCCTCCAAGAAGTTGTAAGTAGACAGAGCATCTCCTTTTTTGGAAGTGTATAATCAGTGTGATTAAATCCACTGTAGGCTGTGGGAGGCCTGGTGACATATTTATGTCTTTTTTGTGCTTGAAGAACTGGTGCTGGATGTAAAATGCCCAGAATATGCAGCACAAGATAAAAAAAAATCTCGTGTTGCCTTTTATTTCTTCAAAGGAAAACAGTAGAATAGATCACAGCATGGCAAAACCAGCTAGAGTTGTCACTAACCTAGAAACAACATACAGAATTTTAAACTTCTAAATACAAGTTCCAGTAAATTCTGATTGCAGACTAAGAATATCCAGTTAGTAAAGAGCCAGGAGTGCAATTTTATTTTGCATTTATTTTTTATTACAATATGCTTTTTGGCTTTGTAAACAACTTAGAATATTCAACCATTGCTCTGTTCCGATCAGAATTGTCTTTACAGTTTATTCTGACAGTGATTGTCCACCATATCAAAATGGTTTCCCAGCCCTTCTCAGAGATACTAAGAATCAAATTGGCAATTTTTACATGCAGAACTGCAGACCTATTCCCATTTCAAAGGTAGATTGCTAATTGTACATTGCCGAATATTCAAGAAAAATACTCCATGCAACTGATTTCTGAATATCACATACTGCCTTCATGAAAAATGATCCCAGTGAAAATGCTGTGCCATGACTGTATGAATTCTGGAACAAATCTGTACAACTTCTCTATTCCTTTTACTCTCTTAAAGTAGCTATCATTGCCATATTGGAATATGGAGTGTGTTGAGTAGCAATGAAATGCATTCATGCTGGTTTGAAATGTCTTTGGATGCCTAGATAAAGATGAAACCAGAAACTTTTCTTTTGGATTTAATGGAAAAAAATTTAGAAAAAAAATGGAACTTTGATCTTATGTATATTGACGGCAAAGACTACTGTATACACAAAAATGGAATGATATTTCGATTCCCACCATGGACGAATGGCTACAGAAGCTGATGGAGTTGGCAGAGATGGCTAAATTGACCATTTTGATCAAAGAAAAGAATATAAAGGCTTTTGTTCTGAGACAATCAAGCTCAGAGAATATCAAGGACCTCTCACGTAGGTATTTTTCATTCATAAATTTGGGCAAAATTGCCAATGGTCCTGATGTACATATTGTAGGTTTAGTTCATCAACAATAGAGCAATTTCCCCTTCTAGCTAATTCCATGAACTAAATAAATACATTGTGGCAGAGCAAACACTGACGATTTTTCCAAATCAGTTTAAAACACACACACAATTTCTTTTAACACCTATCCATCTTCCTGTGCTGCTAGAAATTCGGTTTACTCTGCCCCACCACCGCTTGTGTCCAATTCTCAGACTGTTTGGACAAGTCCCTGCTGTTTTTCTTGGTAAAGATTTACAATGGTGG